CCGGGTTGTCTGACTAATTCGTTCCTAGTTGTGTTGTGTCGGTTGTAGCTTAGTGGAAGCAGGACAACTATAGGGCACATTATAGGGCTATTGGCTATGGTTTTCTTCCTTTCTCCTTTCCTTCATTAGGGGAATTAGAGAAGGATGATGTTGTGTTTCTCAAGCGGGTTCAGGCTTCACTAGGGCTTAGGATATTGGTGCTATCATGCTAGTGCAACTACGTGCTTACATCTTCAGCAGGATCGGGTTCGACATAGCTACAGGGGTGGGGGCCCATATTGTATCCCGACTCTCCACTAATTTCTTATAATTCGGTTGACTTTGTAGGTTTTTATTATTTTTCATAATATTAAATAAATAAATACTGGACAAAAATTACCTATGAACTAACACAAATTGAACTGAAGCAACCTTAATTGAATTGATTTGGATTGAAATTTCTTCATAAAAATCCTAAAGCAAAATTTTTTGATTAAGGCAGACTTTCACTAAACATTTTAAGAAGGGCCTGTTATAATATCTACTTTAAGAAAATTCATGAATAGTGCATGGACATTTATATCCCTAAAAATGTTCTTTTACATATATGCCCCTATTTGATGTTAAACGCCTTATGCTTGTCTCTTTATTTGAATTCCCAAAATTAATTTAAAAAGTTTTGTTTTCTTTCACTCTCTATATTTCTATTTATTTTAATTTTCCTATTTAGAAGTCATTTAACATTATGTCTATATCAAATTCACATCTATGTTTTTTACCATTTAATCACTAAATCAAAGTAGCTAAACTAAAATTTAGAACATTACACAACTACACAAACATCCAGCACATTTATCGTCTATATCACAAAACTGGCATATGGTATAAAGAAGATCTATAAATATTCTTCTCAAAGGACAGGCTATCACTCGCGGCGATTGCGCGCGTTGGAATCCCTAGTTACCCTAAAAGTAAATGAAGCTACCATTATATACTTGTAGGTGTCATTCGAAGCGCGCCTAATTAAGCATGTTGTGAATATGCTTGGCACTCATAGGAAGTGGGAATTAACCTTATAAGATTAGGGACATGATTAGGGATAAATCAAAGTAGAGAGTTGTCAACAAGTTTTTAAGAAACTTGTAAACCGTTCACGGATTATTTAAGGAAACTACGAATAAAGGACAACAATAGGCAACAACATTTGACCCGTGAAGATTACACCCCATTCATAATCCATGAGATTACTAACTCCATATGGTTCGGAACCATGAAATGAGGATCGGGGATGATGGTACGAATTGTCATGGAGTCACGTTCGCTCTTATTGGCCACTACTCGATTATTATTGTGAAAAGTAATCCTGAAATCTAAAGGCACAAGAAAAAAAAAGATTCAATTTGCTCCAAACTAATATAATATTAGGCTAAATTTGTTGAATATTAATGCAACACATAATTCTAAAATTGCGATCACTTGATTAAACAACAAGATTAAAAAGGATCCTAACCGATTGTCAAAATTATCTATTAGCCGTTATATTCAATTATATATTTCCTTTATACGTGCAAGATGGTGATCAACAATAACAATAGAATAAAAAATAATATTGGAAGCAATTCAACCACATCGCCATCAGTCAAATCAAAGCATAATAATAAACCTAATCATGATATTAGCAATTAGAATAATAATAAGAGTATATTTAAGTGAGTTAATTACTCACGTTCCACACTTATTTAAATTGTTACATCATGAATAAAAAACGTTAGTGTGGGTAATTTTCAAACACTCAAATTTGAGCCCCACTGTAATCATGCTTTTAGGCATGGTGGTTTCCAAAGGGAAAGAAGTTAGAGATAAAAGAGTTGTCAACAAGTATTAGGAACTTATAAAATGTTCACGGGTGTGACGATTACACCCCATCCAAGGTCACAGAGATCACTAACTCTATAGTGGTCCGGTACCATGACTGGATATTCGGGACGATGGTACAACTCCAACCTAAAAGATATTGAATCTACCCTAAATTGGTCTCTACTTAATTCTTATGATATTCATGTGCGCTTTCTGATCAACATACATTCATTAAATTATAAGCATATTTAATCTACGTTGGTTGATTATTAATGCACAAATAAATCTATTATTGTCGATAACTTGAATTAAAATCATATTAAGCCTAAATAAAATTATTAATTATCTTATTAAGCGTAATTTCAAGTACAAATTCCATTTAAACCTACATAAAGAGCGTGATCATGCAATAACAATCAATTATGAATAATCAAGAAACATAATACTGACACAACAATCATCATCGTTATTATAATAATCATAATCTCATCAAAGCATAATTAATAGAATGATCCTAGGCATGATACAAAACAGATTAATAAAAAACCCTAAGCTAGCATGTCACTAAAAAGTAAAGATCAAAGCTTTAACCTAAACATGATACTAGAAAGCATGTTTAGTTATTAATTCAGATTCAAGACTTAATTATGAGTGATTATGTTCCAGATCCCTCCCAATTGTTTTTGCGGGGATCGAAAACACAACACTCCCTATCAAGTAGGGCCTTAATCACCAATGCAGCGACAACCGATTGTATAATTTTACAAGCAACTGGGTTAGTTTTAGTTATGTGATGGTATTCTTAAATCTTGACATGTTAATAAGTGTTATAAAAGATTTATGGAAAAATTGTCAGGAACTACTCACTTAATAAATGAATTTGTAAACAACTACTCGCTAAAAAGTGTTACAAAAAAAACTACCCTCCAAATTTAAATAGTTTGATTAGCACTATCTTATTTCATTTCCCGGTAACAAATTCCGGCGAGTGGAGTCCATTTGTTATTTTCCCTCCACAAATACATCATCACTCTCGTATATATTAACCAACCCTCTTATTCTTTGCAAAAATTTAATTTTCAATTGGCGACTTTCACAAAGATTTGGTTTTTTAAATTAAGTTTTTGCAAAGAAGAGGAGCGTTGGTTATATATATACAAGGGTGAGAATTTTTTCGAATAAAATAATAACAAATGGGCCACACTTGCCAGAATTTATTGCCGGAAAAAGAAAAATGTAGTGCTACTCAAACTTTTAAAATTTAGGTGGTAGTTTTTATTATAAAAGTTTCAGCTATTTCACCAAATGCCACTGAGTATTTACAAAATTCACCAAATGCCATCAAATTTTTCAAAATTCACTAAATTCCACTGACACACAATACAATGACACCTCGTGCCACTAATAGTATGTGGACGTTAGTTTTCTGTCAATGCAATTCTTATTTCACCAAATGCCATTACGTTTTAAAATTAATACACAATAATTATTTATTAATGAAAAAAATAATACTTTTTTTCGATTTTCGTGACGAATATTGTTCGGGTATGGTTTTGGGGGTCATTTTGACCCTTTATGGGTACAAATTAAACTAGAAATTGGCAAAAAAAACGTAAATACCCCGTTTTGCAATTTTTTTCCAAAAAAAAATTACGATATCGACATACAAAACGGAGCATATATGTTTGTCAGTGGCACACATATTAAGGAGAGGAGAGAGAGTGAGAGAGAATGATAAAACAAGTGGAGTACACTTAAAAAGCAAGATATAAAACTTACCCAAAAAGGAAACATGTCAACTAAAAAAAAACTTGCTAAAAAGGAATATGTGTCAACTAATAGAAAACCAAATGCCATTAATGACGTACCCCCTAAAACCTTACCCGATCAGTTTTAATGGTTAAAAAATAACGACACGCTAATCGAAATATTTTTCAACATACAAAACAAAGTATTTACGTTATATTTTATCAATTCCGAGCTTAATTTGTTCCCATAAAGATTCAAAATGATCCCTAAAACTATACCTGAGCAATTTTTGCCACGAAAATGAAGAAAAAAAAATTATTTTTATTAATTAAAATAAATAATTAAAATGAACCACTTATATTATGACACGTGTCAAGATTTAATCTTAATGACTAACAGCCGTTAATGGCATTTGGTGAATTTTTTAAAAGCTCGATGTCATTTGGCGAATTTTGAAAACCTTGATAGTATTTAGTGAATTTTGAAAGTACTCAGTGACATTTAGTGAAATAGCCGTAAAAGTTTTTATTAAGTAACTAGGTTAGATCTCGTGTCATGCACGGTTTTCCACTCTTTATTATGGTGTATTAATTTAAAATTATATTTAAATATAATAAACAATATGGTCTAAAATAAATTTCTTATTTTATAATCAACCAACTTAAAATATATTTTTTTCTATCCTTTACGACTGCATATTTTATTTTACGTTCAATCTTAATAATATTTTGTACCCAAATGGCATATTATTTTTTATCTATGTTTGAAAATTTGTCATTTACTAATTATTTTAGCTTGAAAGATATATATTCATGATTTTTTTTTATAAATAATCACTATACATTTAAAATAATTATTTATACAGGAATTTAAATAAGGATATGGTTAAATATCTAAGTTGGTAAATATATTATTTTGTGATTATTTTTTCTTAATTTTAGAAGAAAATATTTGCATATATTCTCTATCAATTTTTTTTTCAATTATTTTCTTATAAATATATCAAAGGACACACCCAAAGATGACATGTCATTGATGGTGTGTCTTTTAGTATATAGTTATTATTAATTGATTGATTGTTTACAAATTCACTTATTAAGCGAATAAGACCCTGTTCTTTTCACCATAAAAAAATAATATTAAGTAAAAATAATTTCAGTTCAGTAAAAATAATTTCAGTTCAATAAAAATAAGTTCAGTTCAGTAAAAATAATTTCAGTTCAGTAAAAATAAGTTCAGTTCAGTAAAATTCAGTTTTGTTAAAGAAGAATTATAATAAAAAAAATCAGTAAAAATAATTTCATTTCATTAAAAATAATTTCACTTCATCAAAATTAAGGTGAATTAAACAGGGTCTAAGTCCTAATAATTTTTCCAATATTTAACGGTTGTTCATGAGTATTGAGTATTGACATCTTCAGGTTAAGCAGTCTTCGCGTTCTCTCGAGTCATCGAAAAACTCCCAACACAAACGCCCCCTCGCTCTTTCTCTATTAACCCAAAACCAGGCTTAAAAGAGAGAGAAAAAGCTTCGAGGGTTCGTTGTAAAGAATTGTCCATTTTCCCAAATCCAAATTTCCCTTTTCCAAAACCCTAACCCTAAATTAATCCCTCAATCATCTCATCAAACCCTAAAACTCCACAACAATGGCGTTTAATCAACCAAAAGAAAACGAAAATCACGAGCAACGTCGTCTTTACAATCCATACCAAGACCTTGAAATCCAGGCCCAGAAGCTCTATCAACTTCCTACACAACCCGAATTCCTTTTCCACGAAGAATCACTCCGACAACGCAGATCTTGGGGTGAGAATCTCACCTACTACACCGGTTGCGGCTACTTGGCCGGAGCTTCCTCTGGCGCTGCAAAGGGATTCGTTGATGCTGTCCGTGCTTCGGAGCACGCTGACACCGTGAAGCTTCGGGTTAATCGTGTCCTCAATTCTTCCGGCTTGACCGGTCGCCAGTGGGGGAACCGAGCTGGAGTCATTGGCCTCATGTATGCTGGACTTGAGAGTGGGCTTGTTAAGTGGAGGGATACCGATGATGTTTTCAATAGTGTGGTTGCTGGCCTTGCTACCGGTGCGCTGTTTAAGGCGGCTTCGGGTCCGAGGGCTGCTGCTGTTGCTGGTGCCGTTGGTGGGTTGCTTGTCGGATGCACGGTTGGGATGAAGCATGCTATTAAGAGATATGTTCCCGTTTGATTTGATCTCATAAGGCTGGTAGACTTTATTTATGAATTTTATTTTATTACTTTAAAATTTAAAATTGGAAAGAGTTTGCAATTTTGATGATGTGATGAATGAATGAGTAAAAAAGAAACAGACAGTCGAATTCGTTTGTCTTAATTTGTGGCGTAATATGGTTATTAGTATATGTTTATGCTTCCAATTCGTAGGTATTACTGGGCATTATTGCTACAACCTACTTTTAATAAGTTTATTTTGGTTGTGCTATGCTTGTAATTTGTATAACTTATATAGGTGATTCAATAATATACAGAAAAAGCTTAGACTTTGCCTTCTAATGCCTGTTATGTTTCGATTTTTGTTGCCATATGTGCTATAGTTTGGTATACATTTGATAAAGCAACTATCTTGTATCAGTTGTATGCATTGCTCCTTCTTGTAGAAGATGAAAGTATAAATTGTGGCAACAATATGAAATTCTTCCTTTATTTTCTTTTATTCGCAACACACTCTTATGGTGCACTCTTGATACATGTAGCACCTAACCCTTCCCCATTCCTGGTGTTAAAGTTATTTTGATTAAGTTGTTTGTTTACCTACCCAAACAACCTCCTAAAAATGTGTGTGTTGAAGTTGTGTTGGAAATAAAAGGAATCAGAGGAAGTATGTGCCTGGGTTAGCCTCTTATTGTCATTGGGAAGGCCAATGGAGATTAATGCTGTTCTAACAGAAGAGTTCGTTTCGTTGATGATTAGTAGAAAAATCATAATTATGTCACTATAAATAAAAGTAGTTAGGAATTTTGATTTGGGTTCAATTATGATAATTCTGTCATTTGTGATTGAATAGTTGTATGCATTATTCTTTCTTGTATAAGATGAAAGAAACCGTGGATTGGGAGTTTGGACACCTAATATGTACTTGGTGGTCTTATTTGACTTGAATTTTCTCCAATTGAAAATATTCCATGAGGCTTTACTGACTAAATCATAGAAAAGTATCCATACCATGTTATTTCTGGATTTTTTTGAGTCAATGATCTCTTACAGTTATACACTTATACTACTAAAGAAAGTTAATTATGTAGTTTTTTTATGATAGTATATATGATTTATATAATGGAGATCAATTTCTAATCTGGGAAATACTGTGAATTTAGAGATAGTATTGTGAATATTGAACCACCAATATTGTGTAATCAACTACCTTCTAATATTGTGAAAAGCCTTCAATTTTGATGTGATAAATGAAAGAGTAAAAAGGAATGAGTCTTCGAATTTGTTTGTCTCAATTTGTGGCATAATAAGATTATAAGTATGTCTTTGCTTCCTGTTCATACAATTTGTAGGTATTGCTATGCATGATTGATACAAGCTACTTTTTTTTTTTTTTTTTTTGGGCTATATATTATGCTTACAATTTGTGAAACTTATTTAGGCGAGTCAATAATATTACAGAAAATGCTTAGACTTTGCCTTCTAATGCCTGTAATGCTTCAAATTTAAATGGTTTGGTATAAATTAGATAAAGCTGTCATTTGTTATTGAGTAGCTGTATGCATTGCTTTTTCTTGTATAAGATGAATGTAGGCGACCGTATATGTGCCTGGGGTGGCCTCAATCTTATGGTTACCGGACAAGTCTATGGAGATTAATTCTATCCTAACTAAGGAAGTCATTGATGTTTACTTGTTTTGTAGAGAATTCATAAATGTCTCTCCTCTTCTAAACAAATTATTTTGCCTTTTCTTGTATTAGATGAAAGTAGAGGAAGGTTAAAGTAGAGGGACACCTTATAAGATCTGCTGTATTTAATTTAGTTTACAGAGTAAGATAGAGGTTTCTCTGCTCCTATTGAGGATATTCCATGTAGAAGAGTGTACACACCCTGATATTTGGGTTAATTAGAACTTGCCTGTCCTAACACATGGGATAGTTATTTATTTATTTATTTTTTGAGGCAATACATGGGATAGGTAGTTATTGATACCTTTCTGTGTTCTTTATTACTTGACTTGGTGGTTTGTTTGTTGTTTGTTTTTTTTTTCTTCCGAAATTTATTTTAGCATGACCTATTTCTTTTTTTGGCTTATTTTACAATGTAAGTTGACTATTATACCCTAATTAATGTAACCTTGTTAACAACTTAACACCCCTCATTACTCCTTATTACTAATTACATTCACTTAACTACTCCTTCCAAATTTATTAACCTACTCACCCACGCAACTATATTTGTTGTCAGTTGTCTAGAACCTTCAATTAAATTAGAATGAAAATTATTTTCAGTTTTCTTGAAAACCAAGAACCTTAGATCTAAAATTCCAATTGCCTCCTTCGTTTGGTTCGATTTCATGGTTCGACTATGAAACTCATTCTCTCTCATCTTCTACTCTTTCGCATTTCATTGCTATTTTTTGAAAACGAAGAACCCTAAATCTGGAATTCCATCTGTAACATTCATCAAGTTGATCTCCTTTCTGTCTCTCAATTTAGTTTCAAATTTTTGGGGTTTACTTGTTTGGTTGTTGTGGATTTTTGCATATATATTCCCGTTTTTGATTTGTTCGATGTGTTTTTTCGAATTTTTTGGGTTGAATCTTTGTGGGTGGATTTGTACTAAATCGTTTTGTTTTTAATGGGGTTATTTGATCGATTTGTTTTCGATTTTTTAATTTTAATGGTATTTTTTTTTTATTAAACTAAAAAAGTTTAAGTTGTACAGAGTATAGAATCTAAGGAATAAGGATTTGGAGTGTTATGATTAAATGTTTTAAAAAAACTCAAATTATTATACAAATTAAAGAAATTGACCAATTAAGAAGTGCCACGTGGATGATAACCGACTATAAAGGGTAAGGTGACTTGCAAGGGTTGCTGGGAGAAAATAATTGTAAACTTTGGAAGTAAGATATCATCTTGAAATGAATGAAAAAAAAAAAAAACAAAAATTGTTTCTCCTTTCCCCTTCCTACCTGTTTCTCTCTCCTCTTCCTTCCTCCATTATCACCACCTAAACCACTCACCACCATCTACTGTACCACCACCTACAACCACCTCAACACCACCACCACTCAACACAACATCCATCCACTACCAACCCACAAATCGACCGCAAACAACACCCACAACATCAACGACCGCCCACAACATCAACAATGTACGACCACAACCAATTCAACCCCAAATTAAATTGAGAAAGAGAGAAGAGAAGGACAGTGGTGCGGGTTGGGGTTTTGGTTTCTGGGTAGGTGGGGTCGGGGTTTCGGGTGTTGGGTGGGACAGGATTTAATGGTTTTCAACTAGGTGAGGTTGGTGGTTTGAGTATATGGGTAGGAGTGGAGGAAAGGTTCCGAGTTGGGGTTTTGTTGTGGTGGGGTAAGTGGTGGCGGGGGTTGTGATGGCTGCAAAGGGGGTAGCACGTGGTGGGTTGTTTGATGGAGAGAGGAGAGGGTAGTGGGGCGGACTAGTTGATGCCTTGACGGGGTAGGTTGATTGTGATGTGAGGTGGTGGCGGGAAGGTTCAGGAAGGTGAGGGAGCCATTGTTAAAGGCTAAAAGCTTGAAACGAGGGTGAAGGAAGAAGGGAGTAAAAAAATTAAGGGGGGAAAAAAAACCTAAAGTTCAGGTAACCAGTCAAATAGGATCGGTAGAAGAAAATATATAGTAAACTTAGGTTGGATTATTCTTGTGAAAATTTTTTAACTAATAAGGTTGGAATATGTTATATTTCACAAATAATACCCTAAAGTTGCGTTTAATTTGGACCGGGGGTAGTATAATTTATTTTATTTTATTTTATTTATTTATTTTTATTTACTTATTGGTGATCATCACGGAGTAAACCTAGCATTAATCAACAAGTTCATTTCTAATTTCTGAGAAATATTGTGAATTCGGGGCAATAATAAATATTAAATAACAAGTTCATTCCTAACTACTGTTGTTGCATAATCAACGAACTTTAACATTTGGATGCTTTCTTTCTGCCGAAGCATTATACTCAATTACTCCATACTTTGTATGAGGCACTTTTCCCTGATACTAGTGTCCAATTGATTTCGATGATAAACAACTCTTCTGTGCTGATAGGCTGCCACTCTTGCCTGATCACATATGGATTTGGAATGGGTTAGAATGGAGTTGAATCCAGTTTAATTTTTGGCTGGATGATTTAGGCGGTGTAGTTTTCATACTTTAAGTATCCAACTCTATTTTAATCTTCTACAATCTCAAACTCATACTCACCTTCCCTTTTAAGGTTTAGAGTCCATTTTATGAAAATATAGACTAGGTAAACGGACGAATAAATTAATAAAATTTTACCATTGATACGAAGAGCGTAATAAGTTGATGCCGTTTAAATTTTATACTACCTTCGTTTCAATTTTTTTTTGCAACTTCCACCATAAATGAATTTGGAATGTTTCATAATAAAGAAGTTTGATATGAATTTAAATTGGCAATGAAGCTTGATACTCCCTATGTGTTTTAATAGGTGTTACACTTATTAAATGTGATCGTGTTTTGTTAAGTGTCATATTTTATTTTGGCAAAAAATTATATTTTAATATTATATTTTTTTTTCTTAATGGTCCCCACCTAAACTCACAATTATTATTTTTTTTCTCTCACATTCATTATTTTTCAATAAATTATTAATTATACTATTTTTTCATACAAATTTTTTTTACTCTAACTACATCACTTACATCTTATTTGATTGAAGTTAATTAACTTACCTAAGACTATATGTTGGTAAAACTATACGGAGTAACATTTATTAAAACACTATTTAATTTAACCATATCCACAATGTTTTAAATAGATTTCACCTTATGTTTTTAAATTTTGGCAGATCTTGAATTAATTTAATAATATCCATAATGTCTTGAAAAAAATTATGAAATATAATATAACAATCATATAAGATTGTAATTTTGTATTAGTAGTTGATTTAAATAATCTTAAATGTATCTTATTTTAAATACTCCATAATTAAATGATAAGATATTTATTGAAGGGTATACTTTGTTTTGCACATAAGAAAAGTTGGATGTTTATTATTTTTTTTTTTCTATTTAAATAAAGACAAGAATAATATTTCTATCTTGGAATATATATTAAAATTTTTTAATTGACATTATACGTATCATATCATGCATAATTTCCATCAATATTAGTAAGATGATATTATAACAGAGGTTTTTCAGTGCGGCAAGCCACATAGTGTGGCAGAGGTTATTTGTAGGGTGTTACTTATATTCAAGGGTTACTTGTATTCAGGGGTTACTTATATGAGTTACTTGTAGGGTGTTATATTACTTGTATTATAAGGTT